TCTATGCTAAATCTAGAAAGGACAGAAATGAATGATAACTTACTCTTAATCATAAATACTGACACAGAAATCCTACATATGTACAGATGTACTAGAAAATCAACATGAGCAAAGCACAAAGGGTAATGCCTAACAAACCAGTTGGGTGTATCACAAGAATGCAAGGTTGGTTTTGTATAGATCAGGGAAACACACACCATTATTAAAGGAAAAAAGTCATTTGTTCATCTCAATGGTTGATACATTAATACTGTTTTCTTCATCTTCAAGAACTTTTAGAAACTAGAACTAAAACCAAAAATCATTTGGCCTGATAAAATTTAATAAAAAGCCTGCAGTAAATAAACATGGTACGATGCTGAAAAACAGTCCTCTAAAGATTTAGAACAATAACAAGATATCTCCCCAAAACAAAACCAGCTTCCATTCCAACCATGAGAAGTGTATCACTCCCTGTCAAGGAAGGTTTCATTAAGCACGGATTTTTGAACATACAAACTTGATCCTAGGCCACATTACACAGGTGACTCATTGAACCCTTTCCTATTTATTTATTTAAGACAGGGTTTGGCTCTGTAGTTCAGGCTGGCCTTGGGCTCACCTGTTAGCCCAGGCTGGTCTTGAATTTGCAATGATCCTGCTGTCTCAGCCTCCCAAGTACTGGGACTTCAGCCGTGAGCCACCATGCCTGGTGCCCTTTCCTTTCTAAAAACTACAACATCTGATAGGCAAAATATTAAGGATGAGCTTTCAGACAGGAAGCAGAAACAAGGGGAAAACCTAAGTCTATTACATGACTTAACTTAGCATCTTTAAGATGAGTAGTCTCAGTTAAATCAAAATTCCAGCCAAATTAGCTCACTCTGTAAGCTTTCAGTCCTTTGTCCACAACCACCAAAGGAGAGGACTTTGGCCAGTAGCAAAGGCGACTTCTTTTTAAGGAGGTAGTGAACATAACTGACCTCTTGATAACTGGGCACTGCATTCTGATGACTGATATTGGCTTGGTGGCCTGCTTCATACACTAAGGCCCTATCCAGAACCAGAAGACTCCCCGCCCCCACCACCACCATGGCAAGACTTTCTGTCTCTTCCTGGGTTTGCACTTCTTGATGTCAAAGTGTGGGACACAGCAGTCAGTTCCAAAATTCTCAGATGACACATTCCTCAGTGGGGCCTCTTCAGCTGAACTGTGGGGTTTTCCCCAGTTCAAGATGTTATGAGATACGGAACAATGAAAGACTAACATCCACGAGACCAGCACGATGGGTATCACCGAGAAATATCTGCTCCATCCCTCTGTCGCTTGGCACATGTGACCATGTAGACGGCCAGATGACAAACCTGGTGAGGGTGGGCAGCCTGAAGCAAAAGCCCTTTTCGCTCCTCCGAGCAGCTGGTTGGTCTTTCTAGATAAAGGGAACACATCTGAGCGTGCCAGCTTTACACGCTCACCCCTCTTTGCAGGGACAAAATCACTGGTTTATAAAGCACGGCTTTTTCAAGCACAGTATTTATCATCTAAAAATAAACTGCGTTGTGAGGGTTCCATAGGAAGATTATCTAAACCATTAAGAATACGCTTTGGACTAGATTATATGCATTTTAAAGCACGACTCTACCATCAAACTACAATCGCTATCAATAAAAATACATAGGGGACTGGGGATTTAGCTCAGTGGCACAAGCACCTGCCTGGCAAGCTTGAGTTCATGAGTTTGATCCCTGGTACCTAGGGATTAATGAAGATGGGGTTAACTGTAGTCAAAGGAAGGGCTCTAAAATCCTAACTTTTATCCTCAAAAAACTTATTCTACTCAACTGAATAGAGAAGGTGTACTGTGAGTAAAACAAAAATGGTAACCACATAGGTTTTAGATTCAGCGATGTGAGAACTCAGTAGGATTGGGTAGCATGAGATAGATAAAGGTCTGGTAGTTTAAGCAATGGATGAAGTTCAAGGTTGAATTGGGGTCATTAACTCAACGTTTAGTACATATCAGGAGAGGCCAGCAGGTCATCAGGTCAAAGAATCCGAACCAACGCAAGCCTGGTCAGTGTAAGTTAGTGTTCTAGTGTTTGAATGCAGGACCTGTGTTTGATCTTTGGAGGTCCTACAGCTGTAGCTCCAATGCCTGATTTCTTATCTGTAATGTGGTATTTTTTATTGTCTTGGTCACAGTGCTGTTAGAAGGTTCAAGAAGGATTATGTTTATTTTATCCTGAAAAATACTGCAATATCTATTAGGGAGTGAATTTTGAAGTAATATTTTTTCCCATTTTAGTAGAAAGTTAGGAGCAAAGCCTACAGTTATTACCAAAAGTAACCTGTTCCACTTTGGGGCAGGAACAGAAGCTATTAAATGTGTGGCTGTTAAGCTTGTTATTATACCTGATGGTTATTATTTTTGTAAAACCAAACCAGGAAATGTTAATGTCTTATTTTCCGTGTGATATCCAAGATCTACAAGCAAGATCACTGCCATGGTTTTGATGTATTTTACATTACACAATTATCTCATGGATAGACACCATTAGATAAGAGCAATTCTTCTAACTGAGTACACTAGAGTAATTTTTAGGTTGAAAAAAATGTAGGGGGCGGGGGATTTAGCTCAGCGGCATAAGCGCCTGCCTTGCAAGCAGGCAGTTGTGAGTTAGATCCCTGGTACCGATAAAAAAAACGAAAAAGACAAAAAAAAAAAAAAAAAAAAAAAATGTAGGCTGAGAGTCGGGTTTTGGTGGTGCATATTTGTAATCCCAGCATACTTGAGAGGTTGAGGCAGGAGGATTGTTGGTTCCAGACCAGCCTGGGCTACCAAGTAAGCTCAAGGCCAGCCTGAACTGCATAATGAGACTCCGTCTCAAAAAGACAAAACAATTGGAAAAAAAAAAAAGTAGGCTGAATTAAGGAGAGGAGTAGATGAGAGAGCTTGATGGTTATTTTGCAAAGGGTGACAACAACATGTTCCTCCCAGTCCCTGCAATTTAACTCTGGAGTAGAGAAGGAATCTGCATTTTGATCCCTATCTACCCATTTTCGGGGTTTTCTATGTACCCCAGCTTTGAGACTGCAGTGTTCTACTACAGAGATTTGAGTGCCTCAGTGCAGTTTTTACTGTTTTGATTCAGGAGCTGAGAGAACACCTCACCTCTCACTCCAGTTCTCTCCAGGCTCTCTGGATCACCGCAGTGTCTTTGGTTTTAGAACCGTATTTGCCTCAAGCAAACTGTTGGAGGAGGTAATTCTACAGTGGACAGGTGGAATCATCCAGAAAAACAGATCTGCATTCTGATCCCTGCCCACTTCCCTTTGGGCAGTCTGTCATAAATCTCAGGAATCCGAACCTTCTCCTTGGGTAGCCTGGAGACAAGACTATTCCTTATCTGCGGCTGAGGTTACCTCCTCCAGCCAGCACTGCTGGAGGACAGAAACTTCCAGGGAATTGAGGCAGTTTTCCCCCAGCTCAGTTAACCATGCGCATAACCTACTATGCAAGCTCTCGGATGAGAAATCCAAGGATGCAGAGGGACATATTAGGCAAACAGATGTAACATGAAGCAGTCATTTTCCTCTACCCAAGGTAAAACAAACACAAAATTTGCAAATTATTTCAAACACTGAATATATACATCATCTTGTCCGTCCTCCCCACCCACTCCAATTAATAACCCCTGTTGAATGTGGCTTAAAACACAACACCAAAAAACTACTGAAATGAAAACGGATTTAGACCAGAGGTCATGAACTGACAGGCCTGCGGGGTTATTTCACCCACAGAGAGGTTTTGTTTAACCTGAAAAATGTTGATTTTTTAATTTGAATTAGTTGCCAACTTAAAAAAAAAAAATCGTGTACTTTTTACATAAAAACCCGAACTACTTTATTCTCTTGAAAAAGAACGAAGCTGTTAAAATAGAAGGTAACAACTGTGAAAAGCTTGGTGGAAGCTGTCTTCAGGTGAGTCCCAGTGGCAACAGAGACCCACACCCCAGCCAGGCCTATCCGGCCCATACAGGGCTGAGGGTATTCCTGGCACTTGGCTGAATGGACGGAGTGAAGTAAATACTGATGGCATCTGGTTTGGCCCAGGCCCTGGGAAGATGCACTCCCAATACCTTCTCCCTTCTCCATTCCGACCCAAGGCAGAGCAACACAGAAGTGAAACACAGGAGTCACCATCCTGCAGCCCTCAACTGTATCACCAACAGCTACTACTTCATCACTGCAAGGTGTTGAAATAAAAGTCAAGCCCTAGAGCATCCCACATAAAGGAGGACCCCAAATACCCAAAATCCTACAACAGCACACAGGCGATACATTTAGGAGGCCGGAAGTTAAGAGGTCACATTTGCAGAGCACAGGCAGATTGTGTTTCTACCTTTTTTTCCCCTTCAGTAAATGAAGATCTCTGGAGAAACTACCTCTGATGCTTCAGGTTCCTTGTCAGGAATGTAAGAGGACCTGCAGATTTCTATCTCAAAAGTCAATCACCTTACCGAGATCCTTAACTAAAGTACTGCTGAAATGTGTTAAATCGGATGAAAAGTAATGTCTCCTGTATCTCAGCAATCTTACCCAATATGTAAGTAAAACGGTAATAAAATAATTACGGGCAGCGCAAACCAAAGTTCAACTCTTGCAGGCATCACCCAGTGGAGGAACCAGGAAACCTCCCCTCTTTGAGGGCTCAACAGATTGCACAGCCCAAACAAACCCTCCTTTCTCTATCTCTGGGGGGAGGGGGAGGGCAAATTATCTCTCCCCTACCTGGTTCATAGTGACACTGTAACATCTATAAATCCTCTGGAGTTGGTGAGGAGCAGCATGGTACACACACAGGTCACGTCTGCACTACTCTTACTTCACAAGATGCCTCCATGGGTCGAGAGCTTTACAGATACCTGGCAAACAGGTGCTGGTTCTGCTCTCTCCCAGAGGCAAAGAGTCTCGAGGGACAAAATTAATTACGAAAGCACGAGGGGAGGGGAGCACCCACCTCTGTTCCGATGGATACTGGTTTTCAGGCATCATCTTTGGCATCTGCAGGGACTGATGTGGTGGTCGAGGGACTGCAAAGGTTTGTGGCTGTGGTCCAGGTTCTGGAAGCGGATGAGGGGTGGGCGTAGGACCCACAGCTTGGACTGGGCCAGTTCCAGGGGCCGGGGCAGGGGCATGGGCATGCGCTGAGGGCAGAGTTGCCTGAGGTGGGGGAAACAAGGAATTCTGATGGGTGGGGGACAAAGGTGTGGTGGGAGGGGTTAATGGCTTGAACCCAGAAGGAGGCTTCCTATCATAGGCACTGTAAACAGAAAAAAGAGAAGGAACGATTAAACTGCGTGGCCATTAGCAGGGTTACCAGGTCCAGCAGAACACTAGTTTGTGGCCCACTGTTGCCAGGAAATGGCAGCATTAACATAGTTAAACTGCAGCCCCCAGGGAATATTTGTACCTCTGCAAAGTGACAAACACACTGCGTCACAGGGACTTGTTTAACACTTCTAGTGATTTTTCTCAAAGATAATTTTAGCTTCTGCTTCCGGTTTCCTTTTTCCCTCCTTCTAAAAGAATTCTGTGGCTGCCTGTGGAGGGGTGGAGGGGTGAAGGATGCCGGAGGCACCCACTCTCTGGTCCCCTCTCCTGAAGTATTCCAGGGTTCCAGGAATTAGCCAGAATCTTCCTGGAAGGTAAACTTCTGATGTAACCTAGCTAGCATTAACCACTCTGCTCCTCCGCCTCAGGGGATCTGTGTTTACCTTCCACAGCAAAGAATGATTTTAAAATTAAAGCTTCATTCCCGGGGCCTGGATATTCTTAAGTAAAGGGCACAAAGCATGGGGTTTTTTGTACACTCCGATTGGAAGATTACATCCTTGGTGCTTAAAGTTCACATTAACATATGATAGGCAGGAAGAAGTGTGTGTTACCTGCCTCAAAGCCACAGATTAAATATCCCAAGATTCCATACCCTTCCCCTGAGGAAGGCTCGGTACTCCACGAACTTAGTTCCTTGCAGATGCCCTGCTGGAATAGGTTTGTTTGCCTTTTCTGTCCAGTACAGTGGCCCCAAAAGGAGTGGGCTACTGGGAGAGTGACATTGAGGGGACAGCAGGGATGGTCCACGCTCCAGAGTCTGTTGGTTAACACCTAAAATGCTCGGCTGGGGTCTAGGGGTCCCCTTCCGGCCCGGCCCACTCACCAGTAGTTGTAGAGGCACTTTTCTCCATAGTTAGCACCGAGGGGCTGCTCATGGCTGCAGGACGACAGCTCGGAGGAGGGGCTGTGCAGCTCCCTTTTGATCTTGGTGGGAGGGGGGGCATGAAGCACCACTGCAAGGAGGAGATGGACAAGGGGGGACACAGAGGACGGCTGATTACCGGGATGCATACATGAGCCTTCCTTAACTAGCTGATTGTTCTAGGAACACAAATCATAGCTCAGGGAAAGCAAAACACACTAGCAACCTTCCAAGGAAAGCCAATGAAAACCTCTTAAAATCAGACAGCATCACTTGACACTGTTAATTGGCCAAATCCCTCACCCCTTTTTCTTTGGTCATGGGTTGCTTCCCAGAAGCTCTAAACTAAAATAATAATAGTAACAACAATAAAATTTATATAGAATATAGATGGGACTTCAAGAAAATGTAGGTGGTAGAATGCCAAGCACTGCCAAAAAGGACAAAACAGTCAAAAATGGGTTGGCAGATATTATCTAAAATCTTATCAAAGGGTTGAAACCGGTGTGGCAAATCACTTCTTGTTCAGCTGTTATTTATCAATTAAATATGTAATTAAAAGAAACACTTCCAACTAACTACATTTGAACTCCAAATAAGAAAGAAATATTCAACCTCAAGGACATTACAAAACAGTTTTAAAAACAAACAGCTCAATCCCACTGGCTGCAAAAGACCATTGGCACCCACGTTGTCTGCTCTCAGCCCGTGGTAGTGAGCAAAGCTGGGTTTCTCAACCAGCCCTTTTGTGCATGGCACCAGCCACAATTTGAAAGGAGCTGGTCCGCTTAAACTCATGTGGCAGTTTTATTCCATCGCACAGGCAGGCAGAAAGACCCCCTTCAGAGGTGCTTGTGTCATGAAGGGTTAATGATCTACTGGGAATGACTTAGAAGTATCCTAGAGTGGGTGGTTATAAAATAATCCATCCCTAGGGCATCTTTCACAGATACCCTTTTTCTTCTGCTTTTCTGCCCTGTTGTTATATAAAGCAGCATGAACACATGACCAGAAGATGCTCCTTGGTCCCCAGAACCATCAGCCAAATACGTTTATAAATTTTCCAGTCTGTGGCACTCTGTTATAGCACCAGAAAATGGACTAAGGCAATGTTGATGGAAGTGCATAGAGAGGTTGCTTTGTTTGGAAACCAGCTACATATTGCATATATGATTCTGAGATGACAAAGAATTTTTCAAGTCAAGGTGACTTACATTTGGTGGACAAAAACCCCCCAAGGAACAAAAGACTAGGTGTGCCTTTTTCAGAAAAGGTCCTTTTCCCAGAGCAGCTGACTCCTCCTAAGGATGCTGCTCAGTGAGAAATGTCTTCCTTCTGCTTGTGAGGCTTAACAGTTACTATCTGTGCGGTACTTTGGAGGACAGGAAAGCAAGTGACCCTTCTGGGCGGCCGCTTTCCACTGTATCAAAGGTCTCACTAAATGGCTAACCACGGATAGTGCCCTGGTGACCCACTAAGATCTGGTCTGACTCACTGTTTACTCCCAAAACACTTTCAAGGAGTCTGGTTAATTTTTAGTGGTCACCTGAAGTAGAAATAGGTGCATGATCATCCCTTTTCCATCTGACAAGGCCGGACAATCTCAACAGGGAACTGGTTTTTTTCTTCTGTGTCTCCTAAATCCCAGGCTCTGGGGTTATCACAAACACATGTGATGGACAAACTGCCCTGATGACAGGGTTACCAAGCTGGCTCCTGCCAGGGCTGAGCAGAAAGGACCGGTTTTCCTAATTCCTTTCTTACATAATGCCAATTACTTTTCCAGAATACATGAAGCACGCTGAGAGCTAGTAGATTATATTTAGACGTCTAATATTAGAGTGTCTCATGGTTTCTTCCCCCGATGGTGACATCATGGCAGCCAACGTTCAATTGTTATCAAATGTTTTCAGATATTCAGGTATAGAAAGCAGCTACAATTGCTTGAACGTTGTTCAGAACGAGAGGGGCAAGCCACAGTGCTGGGAGAAAGCCATTCCTCCAATGCGGGGAACATTCTCCGCATGGCCCTTGGTCAGTCATTGCCTTTATGCTCACTAGATTTCTGCTCCAAAAGTTCTGACAAAATAGAAAAGGAACGGAATGATGTGTCCCTGTAAACAAGAGTGTTGCGTCCTTGAAGAGCTGACTGCTTACTTTATCTAAAAGTAATCATTATAATCACTTCTCTAAGTCTAGGAAGAAGATGATGGTGGTACTACTCAATTTTATCATTTCAGGTTTTAGAAATATGTTCATATTTTCCCATTATTACTATACGAGTTGCCAGTTCTGCCTAAAACTCAAGTACTAGCCACGCTGCCCAGAAAGAAAAATTTCATAATGATTTTGATGTCAGAAACAGCGCATCACTATTACAAAATGGAATCTAAAGTGCCAGGAAATTCTGGTACCTTTGTTTATTCAAATCAGGACAAAACTCAGCATGCATCACACAACCCGGGCTGGGCTTTCAGTTACGTAGTATCTTCTTAGATATGAGACCTGATGCTTGACATAGTAATGGTGTGCTCAAGAAGCACTGCATGTGTGAATGAGTGGATTATATTTGCAACTTTTTTTTGGCTTTTTGAGACAGTCTCATTACCCAGTTGAGGCTGGCTTTGGGCTCACTTTGTAGCCCAGGCTGGTCTCAAACTTGCAATGATCTGCCTGCCTGAGCCTCCCAAGTGCTGGGATTGCAGGAGTACACCACCACGCCCGGCTTTCCAGCTAGTTCTTCTTTGTGTTTTTTTGAGACAGGGTCTCCTAGTCCAGGCTGGCCTCTAACTCAGCAATCAGCCTACCTCAGCCTCCCAAGTAGTGAGATTACAGACATGTACCACCATGCCTGGCTCCAAATGGTTCTTAACCTTGAAGGTAGAAACCACGCCCACCTTGTAAGGCTAGGCACAATGGTAGTCTTAAACAGTACTTTCCCCAACCATCAACCAATTTAAAGAGAACAAATGGGACATGGTAGGAACAAGAACTGAAAAGTTTCACTGATCTACCCTGAGAACCATTACAGGGGCACTAGAAGGAAGAGGCTGAGCACCCCGAAAGTCTGCTGTACTGCAGGACATGGGAGGGACCCCATCTAAGCTTAGTGTCAGCCAGGCAGCGGCGTGTATTTAAAGCAGGAACTCAGAGGCTCACGGAAAGCTCCTGGCTTCCAGTCTGTTTCCTCATTTGTAAAATGAGGTATGTGACGCTGCCTTAGAAATAAAGAAAATGGCACAGCACCTTGCAGATGGTGCTATGATGTTGCATAATTATACCCTGTGCTTTCAAAAATAGAGAACCTTTGCACAGCCAACTTACAGAACGAAGACAGAGGCCTAGGAATGTTAAGGGATGGCAGGAAATTGGAACTGAAAAGGGATCAGGAACTCTTGAGGAAGCTTGAAAAGAAATGCTCAAAAATGTTGACTACTGGGCTGATAAACATCTCTAATTAGAATCTTTGCATTTAAGTTCAGAGTTACAGAAGACGGGCCCCTGATAATAATTCCCAATGATTATAGGCCACCTTCTTTGTCATATTTTCTCTTCCTTTCTCAAAACACACACACACACACACACACACACACACACACACACACACACGTCAGAGAAGGTGATGAGGGCAGTGTGTGTTTTAAACTTTTTCATTTCTGAGGAACAAACCCAAGGCCTCCCATCTGCCTGCGAGCTCAATCCCCATCTCCTCGGAGGGTCTTCTATGACCAAGTGATCTGAAGGGGCTGGGGATGCAATGGTAGGCGACAGACGAGGTCCTGTCTTCACTGCATGTGTAATTCTTTAGGGACAGATTTGATTTTTTCGTCTCTTCTCATAAAGCAGCTAAAAGATACACTGAGGCCTCAGCATTAATTCAAACCCTTACACTTACAGCTGAGAACCCTGAGGTCCAAGAAGTTGAAGAGTTGCCTAGGGGAGGAGCTGCTAGGGGAGGAGACAAGGACTCCCCACAGTCACTTTAGCCATTCTTGATAGAACAGAGGTCCCACTCACCCACTCCAATTAGAAGACAAAAACCCGTTTTCAACTCAAACAACAAAAATACCACACTAAAGCCAGTTAATAGCTGGGTATGGTGGCACATGCCTGTATTTCCAGCACTCCGGAGGCTGAAGCAGGAGGATTGTTGCAAGTTCGAGACCAGCCTGGGCTACAAAATGAGCTCAAGGCCAGTGTGAACTGCATAGTGAGACCCTGTCTCAAAAGGCAAAAACCGGGGCTGGGGATTTAGCTCAGCGGCATAAGTGCCTGCCTTGCAAGCAGGCAGTCGTGGGTTCAATCCCTGGTACCAATAAAAAAAAAAAGGCAAAAACCTCCAACAAAACAAAACCAGTTGAGAGTGCTCTGAAAGGAAGGCAAAGTGGACAAGAACCAGTACTCCTACGAGGCGTTGATTCACTGAGTTGATTCACTAAGGGCCAAGCTGCCCTTCCATACTGTTTTGGTTTAAACATGAAGTCCCCCCTCCCCCAAAACTCACTGGGGATTGAGCCTTAGAGACGAGCCTAATGGTGTGACTGGATCATAGGTCCTATAACCTCATCCATCCACAGATGGGCTATTAGAGGGTACAGCCCAGTGCGGGAAAGAGGTGCTGGGGACACTCTGGGTGTGCGTACCTCATCCCTAACCCTTCCCACCCTCTCTGGCTCGCATCCCTCTGTTTCCTGGAGGCCATGCCCTTCCACAGGGATGCTTCCACCTCAACACAGGTCTAAACGCAACGGGATGAAATCAGGGGCCAAAATGAATCTTTCTTCTCTTAGGGTCCCCCCGCCATTTATTCTGTCAGTGACAAAAAGCCAACACATACTTTATTCAATAATCTCCCCACCCCCATGGGGAAGTGACTTCCACCGTCTTCACTTATAGACAAGAAACACAAGGCCCAAAGTGCTTTCCACCATCTCGCAGTGTGGGCGGCAGAGATTTCTACCCCAGCAGTTGTGTCATTCTTCCAGTACTTCCCAGAAAGAATCACAGAAAAAGACTGAATCAAAAGGGATTAAAGAAACAGGGAAAGAGAAGACGGAAAATAAGCCAGAGCTGCAGGAATTCCTTTTATCC